TTCAGTCTCTTCCTCTTTTCGTCTCATCCACCTGAACCTCTAGACTAGAATGTACACTGTGCCTGAAGTGTAGCAGACCTACTCTGACTCCCCACCCTCCCACATTCTAGTTGTAGAACTCTTACCCTTTGAGCTTCAGCCTCCTCACCTTCAAAATGAGGCTAAGAAAGCCTGTAGGACTTGCCTGTAGTTGCAAGTGAAAGAATGTGTTCACTATGCCTAGCAGGTGGTCAACCAAATACCAGTTCTCTCTTCTCCTACTAATTCTGTGACCTATTCAAGTTTTCGTTTTGCTTGTCCTGTTACACCTTAACTCTCTGTACTACTGAGCTCACTGTTGTCATTTCTTTCTCATCTTCCTCTTTTTAATTTACAACAAGAGCTGCCCTGCCCCATCCCCACCACCTCCTGAGAGCCCCCTCTGAATCATACATGACTAAGATAAGGTCATCTGCTCCTGCTCACCAGCGCGTACTACTGCTGCCTCTCAGACTTCCTTCTCAGTCACTCTAGAATTTGTTCCTCATGTCTTGTCTATGAAACATCACTTCTCTATCTTCTGTGGTGCTGGGTACTTGTGGTTTTCCATTTCCTGATTGTTCAGTAATCCACTGTTAGTTCTTCTTTACCAATTGTGGACAACCACTGGAGCCCCACCAGCCATCCTCAGCTCACCTCTCCCTAATCCCCCAAGAACTCACCCACGATGAAGACTTTACTCCATCTCTCTGCCTCTGACTCCTAGATGTCTTTTTCATATGAAAATATCATATTTTTAACTTATAATTTTAAAAAAAATTATCTCAGTTATGTCATTTGCTTCACTTGCCCTATCTTGTGCGATAGGCTGAGTTAGTATTATCTCAATTTTATAACTAAAGGAAAAAAACCTCTGAGAACTAGAAAATTTTTAAGTGTTTTTTCCTGACTTCTAATTTAAGCCATATTCCTACATTTCCAGTTGTCTACAGGATAGACTTATTTGGAGACTCTGTCTCTGCTCACATCTTCCTTGGGTTTCTCCTCCCTCTCAAACCAATCCCACTCAGCTGGTGTTATTGGGCTGAATGTTTGTGTGCCCCCAAAATTTTTATGTTGAAGCCCCAGCCTCAAATGTAACTGTATTGGAGACAGGGCTTTTACGGAGTTAATTGATGTCTATGCTCTGGTATAGACGTTACAGAGGAGCTGATGGCGGTCCCAGTACATGTTGTCATCTCTCACCTGCACAAAGGACACAGTCTCCTGAATGGCTCCCTGCCCCTACTCTTGCTGTTCTCAGTTCATTCTCTACACAGTGGCCAGAGTGACCTTTCCAAAAGGCATATCTGACCATATTACTCTTCTGTTTATCACCATCACATCAGAATCAAGTTCAACTCCAGGCACATCACAATATGGATCTTGTCATCTGGCATATTCTCTCCATTCCACTCCCCTCAGTAAAGTCCATTCCAGCCTCGTGGAACTTATTTCAATGCCCCCAACACACCTGGCTTTCTGTTGCCTATTCACTCTGAGCTCCAGCTCATCACCTGGTCATCTTTTACCCAATCTCAGGTTTCTTTATGACATCATTTCTTCCAGAAAAAGCCTTCTCTGCCCCCTGGAGGTCTTGGCTGGCTACTGCCCCACCTGGCCCTGCTGCCCCATGGGCTTTCTGTCCCAGCACCTACCCCATGGGCCAGCCATAGCTCCTGTCTATCCCCACCCACCAGAGTGGTCACCACTAACGGCAGGAGGAAGCCTCACTTGTCTACCACTGTATCCTCAGGCCCTAGCACGGCTTGTGGCACATAAACATGCTCAAATAAATGACCACTGAATGAGCTAATGAAGGTATTATTCACCTCCCTCATTTTATGTCTCACAATAAATAGCTTCTAAGGAAAAGAATCCCGATGGTCTTTTGTAACAAAATGACGTTTGCACATTTTTCCTCACCAACTTTCCACTTCTTAAATTCAATCTAGGCTCTGGGGACAGGCATACAGAATCAGTGGCATGGGGGTAGAGGGGTATTGACAGAAAGAACCCAAATAGTACTCTGTTCTAAACACTGTAGAAAGGGACACTGTATCTCTGAGGGCTGACAGTCGTTTTTCTCACTTTGTGCCAAGTTCCCCGTAGGGATTTGTGTCTGCCAGGAAAACGGACTTTAATCCTCTCAGAGAATTTATAAGAGAACAAAGTTATCGTTAAGGTAAAACTCAAAATACAATGAAACCAACATCCTTTAAAGAATCGGCAATGCCCCCACGTACTCTGTAGACCATCATGTGTTCTGTACTAAACATGCAAAGATGGGAAATTGTTTTTTTTTTTAATGATAAAAAAATTCTTGTTTTTATAATGTACAATAAAGGTATGTATACTGGATCCTTTTAAATTCTTCCAGCTTAATTAATCTTTAAACCCCTGGAGCAAAGAGGCTGTGCTCCCCACTTTCCCTCCAGTTAATTCTTCTGTCTATCCCCCACCCCCACCCCTGTCCTGTCCTCCCTCCCTTCCCCTCTCTTTTTCCTTCTAGTTCTCTTCAAATCTCCTTCCCCTTTTCCTTGAAACCTCTCTTCAAAACACCAGAGAAACAAAAAGTTTACTTTCCTGACCCTGGCTCTTCTCAAGGACCCTTCCAACTTTTGAGATGCTTTGGTTCCCACTCACTGCTCCAGCTTCTACTAGTTCCCTTGTCAAGGGCATCAGCCTACACTGCCACTAAGTCATCTATCCGATAGGAAGAAGTTTTGCTTTAAATACTCTCAAACCTTGTACTGTTTTCTCCATGGGTCAGTTAATGATATAAAGAGGTTAATAGGTCCAACAGAGATAAACATAAGCTATTAGCTAAACTCCACATTCATTAATGAATTAATATATTTATGCCTTCCCATCTAGTCTTTAATTTCATTTACTTTTGAGAGAGACAGAGAGCTTGAGTGGGGAGGGATAGAGGGAGACAGAATCAGAAGCAGGCCTGGCACTGTTAGAGGAAAGCCCGATGTGGGACTGGAACTCACCAACTGTGAGATCATGACCCGAGCCGAAGTCAAATGCTCAACTGACTGAGCCACCCAGACTCCCCTACCTTCTCATCTATTCTTAACAGAGCTCATGTACTAGGTTTTCTGCAAGGACTCCATCCTCGGGCATTCTTGGTCAGTAGAGGGGTTGAGACCTGCACATAACTAACTCCAATACAAAGAAGGCAGTGGTCAGTGCCCCCAGAAAATCACAGATATGGTGCTGGAGGTTCTGACATAAATTTGATAAGGTGCAGTGGCAAAGCTGAGCAACCCAGACAAATGTTTGTCTTTCTCTCTTTGGCTGCTATGTTAAGGAGAGCCCACTGGGTAACTGTACAAGCTCTCATTAGGCTTTTATCTTCCAGGCTTAGCCTTAGAGGACGAGTGTGCCTCCCAAGTCTGGTGTGTAAGACAAACTTGAAAAATGGGAGTCTCTGAGTCTGGAATACACATGAGATACTAAAAATGCCCAAGGTGATCCTGACACAGAGCAATGAGAACATTGCAAAAATATGTTATTTTTCTTCCAGAACAGGTGTTATTTATGTTGTCTTGTACCCTGATAACCCCAGGTGGGTAGGAAGGCAGAATGCTAACAGATGCTGGGCTTAATTTTGATTCATTTGGAACATTCTGGAGCCCCAACCTCCCTAACTTTTAACCAATGCACTGGAAACAAATCCATGTCTTTAAAGCATTAGTAAGTTGAAATTCATAAATAGATTCTCATCTCAAGAGTTTGTGTGGGTGAGGTGGATGATAGAAATTTCTAGAGGTTTTGTTCATTTTATGTTTCCCACAAATTACTTCTGCATTATTAATATAGTATTAAAAGAAAGATCTGGGTGGCTTGCCTGAGATTGTACCTCTCCTTCCCTTAATACATATTGATCTCAGGCATGGGTCAGAGACAGGAAAATGTTTCAAATGACCTATGTCAGCTATTATTTTGCTGGCCACCCATTAGAACAATCTGGGAAATTTTTGAAAAACAAACCAAACCAAAACAAAAGACTACTACACATGACTGGCTTACCTCTAAAATCTAGGTTTTAGTTATTTTAGGGATACTTTTTAATTTCCTTGGAATCAGGTGATTTTGGCTGAATGTGCAGCTAAACCACTGAATCAGGTCCCAAAGAGGTAATAAACAGATTATACACATATGCTCTCAAACACACACACACTCTCTCTCTTTCTACCTCCAAGTAAAACCACTGACACATACATTCTCAAATTTAACTTCCTCTCCCCCAATATATTGCCTCTCCCCTGAATGGGAAAAAGATACATTTTACATAATAAAATGACCCAGTTGCAGGGTGCCTAGGTGGCTCAGTTGGTTAAGCGTCTGACTTCAGCTCAGGTCATGATTTCATGGTTTGCGAGTTTAAGCCCCACGTGGGCTCTCTGCTGTCAGCGCAGAGCCCACTTCGGGTCCTCTGTCTCCCTCTCTCTCTGCCTCTCGCTCTCTCAAAAAATAAACATTAAATGTCCCAGTATATAAAAAATAAGAAAGATGCTCTATGGTCAAAAGCAAGGGAATGCTTGAGTGAGATGTAGCAAATCTCCTCAATGCAACAATATCCAGCAATTTAAAATTACCATTATGAAGAATTTACAGCAATGTAGAAACAATTTATGCTCTAATGGGAAAAAAATGATCATCAAGTAATCCACACTGTATGGACACAACAGTGGAGATCAAACTAAAACTATATGCAGACATGCAAAAAAAGAATGAAAAGAAATACCCCCCAAAATGTCAATAGAGACTAGCTCAGTAGTGGTTTTTACTTCCTTCTACTTTTCTGTACTTTCCCAACATCTTTTAAACTGCCGTGTATATGGTAGGAAAAAAGTTTACACTAGAACAAAATTAACATACTTTTCAAAAGTCATTCTTCCGACTATGAAGTGATAAGCAAGGTCTAATTCTCAGTAATGAATTAACAAAGCAAAGATGAAAATGCTCACCCAAAGGTTTCTGTGTTTCAGCTGGCTTTGCTTCGGTCTTCTCTATTCCTCCCACCTTCCTCCTCCAAGTAATCCAGCTTGTTCAGAAGAAAAGTGAAAGAGCAAATTTAGTTTATAAACAGTTTCAGCTCACAGCAAGAAGATAAGGAACTTTGGTCAGCTGGTGTATCTGTGCTTTATAGGACTTGGTGTGGGTGTTGGTCTGGCTTCCTTCTCAGGAAGAAGGGGGAAATATTTCAGCTAGGGACTACCTCTAAAAGGAAGAATCCTTTTAGGGATTAGCCCTGTCTCTCTAACACTGTTTTTATCAGCATCTTTCCCAACAGATCCGGGGAATGTGAGGAGTTAGAGTCACCAGTATTAGGCAGCTATTGGTTCTCCTAAATGGTTTTTGTTCCCATGACAACACTAACATCAATGTCACCTCATATGCCTTAGAGGTATAGCACTTTAGAGTTGTTTAGAGCATTTCCCATTACCCACTTGCTTTTCCGATTTATTTGCACATGGGTGGAGGCCTTCCCCATTCTACTGCAAATACTGTGTTGGAGGTCACCAATGACACTCATGTAAAAGGTCCTTGCTGAGTCCTCATCTTCCTTCCCCAATTTGTTGCACAGTTAACCAAAGCCACTTTCTTGCAACTTTCTCCTTTTTGTTTCTCTGACTCTCCTTGTTCTTTTTCTACCCCTTCAGTTGCTTCTTCATTGCCTTCCTTTCTGATTCCTTTTCTTCTACTCCTTTTCTAAATGTGAGCTTGCCCCAAAAGTCTGTCTTCTGACCTCTTCCTACCATATTCTCTTGCTTTTATGTATGTTGTCCACATCCATGGCCACATTTAATATGGCCTCTCCCAAGCATATACTCCCCCAACTACCAATGGCACCACAATGGTTCAACCAGTTATTCCGTCTGTAAACCTAGAAGTCATTCTTAACTCCTCTCTTTCTCCCACAACCATATCCAAGCCAAACAATTCTATTTGTTCTAGCAGCAAAATGTGTCCTCAATCCAACCATTTCTCACTTTCCCAGCCTCCATTAAAATTCTTATAGTTTTTTGGATAGAATTTTGCAGTAACATTAGACCATAAATAACAGACATCCAAATTGGAAAGAAATAAGTAAAACTATGTCTGTTTGCAGATAATATAAAATTATATGTAAAAAACCCTAAAGATGCTACATACAAAATAAAATCTGTTAGAATAAACAAATTCAGCAAAGTTGCAGGATACAAAGTTAACACACAAAAATCAGCTTGCATTTCTATATGTTAAAAATGAATAACTCAAAAGGAAATTAAAGAACAATTCCAATTATAATAACATTCAAAAGAATAAATAGGGGTGCCTGGGTGGCTCAGTTGGTTAAGAGTCTGACTTAAGCATCCTTGGCTCATGGGTTCGAACCCCACATCAGGCTCTGCACTGGAAGTGTATAAACTTTAAAAAAATAAACTTTTTTAAAAAAAGAATAAATAAATAAGGTATTTAGGTATTAATTAAGGAGACTTATACACTGAACACTACAAAACAGTGCTGAAAGAAATTAAAGAAGACATAAATAAATGGAAAGACATGTTCATGGGTTAAAAGACTTAATATTATTAAAACATCAATAATATCCAAATCAATCTACAGATTCAATACAATCCCTAATAAAATCCCAATGATATTTTTCTCAGATGTAGAAAAATCTATTCTAAAATTCATATGGAATCTAAAGGACTCCCAAATAACCAAAACAATCTTGAAAAAGAACAAAGTTGGAGGACCGATACTTCCTGATTTCAAAACTGACTGCAGCACTACAGTAGTGAAAGACAGTATAGTCTTGGCATAAAGATAGATAATAGCCTAATGAAGTAGAATAGAGATCTCAGAAACAAACTCACATATAGGGTCTAATAACTTTTAATAAGGGTGCCAAGACCATTTATAGGAAAAGACAGTGTTTTCAACAAGTAGTTCTGAGAAAATTGGATATTCACGTGTGAAAGAATGAAGTTGGACCCTTACCTAACATCATATACAAAAAATTAACTCAAAATGTTCAAAGATCTAAGCAAAGGAGCTAAAACTGTAAAACTCTTAGAAGAAAACATAGAGGAAAGCTTCATGGATTTTGCAATGATTTCTTGAATATAATACAGATTTTAAAAGAAAAAATAGACAAATTCGACTTTATCAAAATTAAAAACTTTTGTGCATCAAAGGACACATCAAAGGGTAATAAGTCAATCTCCAAAATGGGAGAAAATATTTGCAAATCACATATCTGATAATGGATTAATATCCAGAATAAAAATAGAACTATAACTCAACAGCAACAAAAACTAACAACCCATTTTAAAAATGGGCAAAGGACTTGAATATAAAGAATATAGAGGGGCGCCTGGGTGGCTCAGTCAGTTAAGCGTCCGACTTCAGCTCAGGTCACGATCTCGCGGTCCATGAGTTCGAGCCCCACGTCCAGCTCTGGGCTGATGGCTCAGAGCCTGGAGCCTGTTTCGGATTCTGTGTCTCCCTCTCTCTCTGCCCCTCCCCCGTTCATGCTCTGTCTCTATCTGTCTCAAAAATAAATAAACGTTAAAAATAATTTAAAAAAATATATAGAAATAGAAAATATACAAATGGCCAACGAGCACATGAAAAGATACTCAACATTACTAACCATTATAGAAATGCAACTCAAAACCACAATGAGGTGCTACTTCACACCCATTAAGATGACCGTTACCCAAAAAAGAAAAAAGAAAATAACAAGTGTGAAAAGGAAGTGAAGAAAACAGACTCTAGTGCATTGTTGGTAGGATGTGTGTGGTTTCTCCCAAAAAATTAAAAATAGAATTACCCTCCATATGATATGGCAATTCTACTTCTGAGTATATGCCCCAGAGGACTGAAAGCAGCTATTGCACAACGAGGTACATTTTAAGAGCCATTTGTATACTCATGTTCCTAGTAGTATTATTCACAATAACCAAAAGGTGGAAGCAACTAAAGTATCCATTGATGGATGAATGGATATGCAAAATATAATATATACATACAATGGAATATTATTCAGCCTAAAAAAGGGGGGGGGGAGTTCTGACACATGCTACAACATGGATGAACCTTGAGGATACTATGTTAAGTGAACTAAGCTAGTCACAAAAAGACAAATACTGTGTGATTGCACTTTTATGAGGTATCTAAAGTAATCAAATTCAGGAGCCTGGCCCAGCAAGTTGGCACCAGCTACATATTTGTGCCTCTTCTCCAAGCTGCTGGCTCTAGCCAAGTCTCCCAAACAGCTCTGCAGTGCAATCAAAGTTCTACATTTGGGAGCCACCACATAACAGACCTGACTGGCTGCAAGTCGGACTGACCTTGGGCACCTCCATCTTCTTGTGAATCTATCTCATCAAACAACATAATGAAGGTGTTTTAGAGTATCAGAGAAGAAATGGGCTGGAATAAACTTCTGAAATACTAACACAGTATGCTCTATATAGTGATTATACCAGTTTCTTTGGATTCACCAATCTGTTGAGTTGTAAATATGAGAGAAAAAGTTATATGTGACTGTATGTCAAATCAGCATTTGTGTTTTGCATCATTAAATGAAAAAACAAAAATACTTCCGTATTCTTAAATAAAATAAAATAAGTCAAATCCATAAAGACAGAAAGTACAAGGGTGGTTGCCAGAGGCTGAAGGAAGGGGGAAATGAGGAGTTATTGTTTAATGCGTATAGATTTTTGGTCTTATAAGATGAGAAAAGTTTTGGAGGTGGATAGTGACTGCATAACAGTGTGAATGTACTTGATGTCACTGAACTGTAACTTAAAAATGGTCAATTTTATGTTACATAGATTTTACCACAATTTTTAAAAATAAGTAATTTTTAAAATAAATTAGAAAAAGTCCAAAAAAAAAAAAAAAGAATGCTGTATAACATCCTACCTAGTTGTCTTCCTGTTTCCACCCTTGTTATTCTACCCTTGTTTTTCAAGAGTAAATCAAATCACATCATCTCCTGCCCAGAACTCTGCAATGGTTTCCCAATATTCTCAGAATAAACATCCTTATAGTCAAAAACAAAGCAAAATAAAACAAAACAAACAAAAAAATCCTTATAGTCCACAACGGTCTCACCTATCAGCCTGTCCTATGTATCTGTGCAACTTCGTCTCTATTCCTGAGGACTTTCCTACTGCTATTCCAGGCACCTGCCAGAATGTCCCTGTCCCCTTACTTCCTCACTTCATTTGGGTCTCTGCTTAAATGCCACCATGACTTTCTTGACCTCTCTTTCTAAAAGGCCCCTCCCACACACACACACTCTACCCCCTTAACCTGCTTTATTTTGCTTTACAGTGTTCATCACCATCACTATTTCTTATAACATCATATATTTGTTTGTGAATCGTTGGACTCCTGTAGTATGTTGTGTAGACATCTCTAACTCATTGGGGTTCTGGTCACCACAGACATCGGCAGCTGCCCGTGTTCTTGTCCCACCCTTGGCTCCCTCACACGTTATCAGGAGCCCCACACTTAGGCCTGTGGATATTCCAGCTTTCTTGTCCATTCCCCGCCCCTGAGAACAGCTGCCCTTGACCACCGCTAGGCGGAACAGCTCCACAAATTGTATGCTCTGACACAACGGAGGAGGCGGCCACAAAGGAGTCCCTGGGGACATCTGGGTGGTGAATTCTCAAGTATCGTAAACACGCTATAGAGAGTGAAGTTGGAGGAGGTTAGTTCCACAGCCTCCCTGTGCGCTTGGGACAGGAAGTACTGGAGGAGGACCAGAGAGGGATCCTCCGATGCATGGTGTCAAGGCCAGTGGTTCCTCATGCCCACATCCGCGAGCAGTCTGCCTTCATGGACCCATTTCAGCCTCCCTTTCAGGTCATGTTTCCTGTTGGTGGCTCTCTTTCTCCCTTCCCAGGCTCTGGTCAAACTGAACTGTTTGTTCATCTCCCAAAATAAAAGGCACTATTTTAGGGCCTAACAGCACAAAACGGTAAGTTGGGTTGGATAGAAAACATCAGTTGCTTCTTTGAAGATAAA